TGGCAGAGATAGGCCAAAAAACCAAGATGGTGGCAAGTGGAGCAGCCATCTTGACCTTTTTGCCCCCATCCTATGGACATCCCTTCATTGTATACATTATTCTATTTGGGTTGCAACATTCACGCACCCAGGAGATGGCACTAAAGAGTTACAATTTTCTGTATTGCTTCATTTGGTGTTTTTCAATTTTGTGAGCTTGAAGGCCTGTGGACTTCAACTCCCAGAATCCCCCAGCCAGCATAACTAATTAGGGAATTCTGGGAACTGAAGTCCCCAAGTCTTCAAGCTGCCAAGCTTTGAGAAACACTGTCATGAAGGATTGAGTGACATTATTCCAGTCCACTGTTAACCAAGTCAATGAAGATCTGGCAGATGCATTCCCACAGCATGCTAAGCAAGGTTAATAACCCATAACTTTGGCTAATTTATTCTTTTATGGAATCCTAGAATGAAAAGGTTGGAAGGGGTCCCCAGAGGTCATCTAGTCCAACCCCTCACCCAGGGTTACCACATCTCCCTCAGAGGCCTTCCAACTTCCTTTTAAATCCTCCTGTGAAGAAATGTCAATCTATTCACAAACTGGTGCACTGCTAATATCTTTCCCATCCTTGGCCCAGCTCTGCATTCTAACGTTAAATTTAAATTAAAAGAAAAAAATCTGAACCCCCTTGACAGGGGATTATGGGAACTGTAATCCGGCACATTTGGAGGTTGTGGAATGCCAATGAACATGGCCATAACATATCCAGGCTAAATTTATCTTAACTCCTCTTCCTCTTCATTCCTCCCGCTATAAGTCCTGCTTCTCAGCCTCAGCAGCCTCAACATTAACTCTCTTGTTTCTGAATTATATTTCTGGCCAGGATACAACCGATTACGTCGCTTATGTTGCCAAGGATCCCATCAACCAGCGAGGTGAGTGTGATTAGAGAAATGGCATGCCCCTTTTTAAAAGCTATCGCCAATGGCGTGGTACAGGAGCTTGCGAAAGGTGATATTTAAAAATTATGCTATGTTTCATCTTTGTGTACAGAGTAATGCATGCACCAGGCGTCAGCAGTTTTTTTTCCATAGCTGATATATCCGTGCATTTTGTGTATATACTCCTCGACTTACCACCATTCATTTAGCGACTCTTCGAAGTTACAACTGCACTGAAAAAAAGTGACTTTACAACTATGGATAGCATCCCTTTGGTCGCGTGATCAAAAATTGGGCATGTGGCACTTGGCAATTGAATGTATTTATATGATGGTTGCAGTATCCTGAGGTCATGTGATCCCCATTTGAGACTTTCCTAGCTGGCTTCCAACAAGCAATGGGGGGGGGGGCGAATGAGATTCATTTAACGACTACATGATTAATTTAACCAGGGATCCCTAACCCCTGGGCTGCTTGAACTATTCGGAACGGGCTGTGGAAGAGGTGGGCAAGTGAGTCCATGTGGGTGCGCACATCCACGCCAGTGGTGGGATTAATTTTTTTTAACAAATTTCTGGGGTTCTGTGGGTGTGGCTTGGTGGGCATGGCTTGGTGGGCGTGGCAGGGGAAGGATACTGTAAAATCTCCATTCCCACCCCACTCCAGGGGAAGGATACTGTAAAATCTCCATTCCCAGCCACTCCAGGGGAAGATTACTGCAAAATCCCCATTTCCTCCCGATCAGCTGGGACTCGGGAGGCAGAGAATAGATGGGGACAGGGCCAGTCAGGGGTGGTATTTACCGGTTCTCAAACTACTCAAAATTTCTGCTACCGGTTCTCCAGAACTTGTCAGAAGCTGCTGAATATCATTTCTGATCCTCGTTTGCATGAATAGTGGACAATCACATGCGTGCGTGTTTGCCTGCTGCTCACATGGAGCCATCCCCTTCTCACATGGAGCACCCACAACTTCTAAAGGCAAAACATTCCATTGGTTAATTGGATGAACTTTATGAAATTCATCCAATTATTTAATAGGATGAACTTTATGAAGTTCACTTCATAAAAAACAAAAAAAGTCCAGTTGCCTCTTGAAAAAGCACCTTTGGGACAACCATGACTTGGATGACTGAGAATCTCCATAGACAGTAAATGGTGACAGTCATTAAGTGGGACATCACGTGACAGTACCTAATGTTATGACCTTTTTGTGGTGGTCGTTAAACAATTCCACTAGTCATTAAACAAATCCTTTATACCAGTGGGCATTTTTTTTTATGGCAACTAGAAGTAAAAGATTAGAAACTACCAAAACCTCCCCAAAATCGCAGTCAAATGACAGCAGGATGCCGCAGGCAGCTGTAAATGCGAGCCGGTTGCCAAGAGCGCAAATTGCAATCACATTAGTGTGACAGAGGGTGTGGCCATCAGAACTTTGAAATCGAGTCGTAAGGACTTTTTTTGGAGCCCGTCGTAAGTTTGAACGCTTGCTAAAAAGCTGTTCATTAAACGTGGACTACCTGTACGATATGCCAGTGAGTGGTGGCCATGAAAGAACCAGGGAAAAGAATGTGAATGTTATCCAAGTGAAAACCTCAGTTTTATTCTTTCATTCCCCCTGCTTTCACGAAATCACTGAAAGATCTGGTTTATCCTAAGTATTCGACCACGGCATTGGCTTAAGGACTGCTGAAATCACTTAGTGACCACTGGAGGTTCTATGACAGTCATATGTCGAGGACTACAGTATGGCAAAAGATAATGTAAATGATAGTTGTAAGAATACAAAACTGCCTATAATGCAAAAAGTAAAAGGAAATTGTGGTCATTGAGTCTTCCTTCCTTCCTCCCTCCCTCCCTCCCTCCCTTCTTTTCCCTCCCTCCCACCTTCCCCATCAACAACTTCTGGAGGGAAGCCCTTCCACCGATTAACAGACTAGCAGAAGACCTTGGAGACCCCCTGCTCAAGCAGCAGACCCTCTACAACAGGCACCCTCAAACTACGGCCTACGGGCAAAGAATACGGCCCGCGGAGTCGTGTGATTAAGCCCCGCCCCTTGCCCCGCCCCTAACTGCCTTATCTCCCAGCGAGCCAGCTGCAAGGCCAGCTGAGGGCCAGCTGAGGGGTGATCTCGCCGGTGCAGCCTGGAAAAGCAGCTCTGGGCTTGTAAAGTACTCCTTTAAATAAAAGTCTTTAAAAACAATTTAAACGGGGGCTTAGGAAGGAGAAAGGCAAAAAAAAATGAATCGGCCCCCTGTTTAAAACGTTGGAGGACCCCTGCTCTACAACGTCAGACAAATGGCTGTCCAGAATATTGGGGTGCATCCCAAGGTCTCCTCACCTCTGAGAAGAAAACCTTCCCGATGGTCTTCTCTCTTAGATCAGGATGGGGCAGGTAGGTGTTGACTTCAGTTTTGTCCTTTAAAATAAATACATGGCCATAACGAGAGTAATCATCTACTACCGTTAAAAAATAACGCCCCCTACCAAGGGAGGGTCTAAAAGGACCAACCAAATCCATGTGTACCAGCTGATAAGGGTACCTTGCACGACGGGAAGAGACCTTAGGTATAGCAGCAGTTTTAGATTTTGCTGCCTTACAGATGGCACATTCCAAATAGGTATTACAATTCTTTATCTTAAGCCCATCAGAAAAATCTTGCATTTTCTTAATAACCGGGAAGCTGGCATGGCCGAGCCTGCAGTGTAATATATGAGCACAATCCAAATGTAAAGGTTTACCCATGCATACTTTGTCAACCTTATGTATCTTACCATTACAAGCCTTGGTCTGTTCAGTAATGAGAGTAGGCACTGGATTAATGGTCACCTTAGAGTTCCTCAGGGTTGGCTGAGGAGTTGTGACCTTAATGGGCTCAGCCTTAATGGCTTTGGATGTCCTAGGAGCTGGTTTAAAAGCTTCATTGGTTTTAGGTCCAGGGTCCTTGAGTTTGGACAACCTGGGGGCTGGCATAGAAGCTTTCTGATCTATCTGGGTGTTAGCTCCCTGAGCCCTCTTGTTAGGTTTCTTGTGCCTTTTGACCTTTGCTTTTGGGGAAAAATAAGGCAAATTGTTGATTTTTACAATATCGCCAACAACACCCCCATTTTCGAAAACATAACTTCCCCCTTCTCAAAAACCAGTTTTACATTTTTATCCTCAGTCAATTTTAAGATGCTTAAAAGGTTGTTCTTGATTGAGGGAACATACAGTGCCCCTGTGACATCTCCTATACCAGGCACATTGATCACGCCTTCCCCAGTTACTTCTGCCTTGTCCCCAGTGGCAACTTTTACTGAGGACTTGAGTGGGTGTAAAACCTTAAATCGTGGCTTCGTGTTGGCTATATGCGTTGATGCACCTGAATCAAGAAGCCACAGCCCCTCAGCATCCTTTACCTGGGAGGTGTGATTGTCACTAGTGACACTACAGAATTGGTATCCTTTATGACCACCTCCCCCTCTTCCACGGCCTCTTTTATTTTTATTGTGCTTAAGTCCAGCCGTGTTGGCCCTAGAGCGAGGGCACTCCCTTTTAAAGTGATCTTGTATGCCACAGTCAAAGCAGGTGGGAAGGGTATTAATCCGTTCATTTGTGTCCTGGTGCCTCCTCTGAGGCCTAGGCCTGTGATATGCCTCCTTCATTTCTTGTTGTTCCTCATCTCTGCGCCTTAAATCTTCCTCAATAAAGCGGCCAGAAAAGTATTCTATATTTCTTTGTTCCCTAGAAACCCCTTCTAGAGAAATAATAAAGGGACTCCAGGATTTGTCTAGGGAGTTCAACATCACACTAATTAAAGTGGATTCAGAAACAGGCTCCCCCCTCTGTATAAGCTCATCCCTCATGGCTTTAAGCGTTGCCAAATGTTCCCCCATTTTGACACCAGGTCTGAGTTTATAGTTGTGGAAAATTCTTGACAATCTGCTGGTTGCAGCCATATTGTCACTATGGAACAAATTATATAGGGCAGTCCAAACTTCCTGAGCTGTGAGGCCATCTGAAAGACTGGCATACAGAGCTGTGTCTATAGAACTTAACAGGGTTGTGTAAGCTCTTTTATGCAGGAACTCAATTTCAGGGCTCCAAGGTAAAGGGGGTGGTCTTTTGATCATGTCCAGAGTATTTTCTCTTAAGAGAATTATCTGAATCTCTTTACACCATTTTTTAAAATTCTGACCACTTAAATGTAATTTTTCAAAATTATTTGGCAAAGTTACAAAATTATTGCCATTAAACTGCATGGGGAGTTGTTCAAATGGTTGAAAAAAGCCTGTTGTGAATGGCATTGGGATCCCTAAGCCTGGGATCGATTGCTTAGGTCTGGCTCCTTTTTGTAGTCCTTCTGTAGTTTGAAGCAACTGGGCACGTGCAGGAAATGGAGCATGCTCCAAAGCCTTTTCTTGTTGGAGCTCCGATCTCCCTCTCTGAGCTCTGAAGTCAGGTCTGGCTAGAGCCTCAGTGTAGGCCGGGACATCAGCGATGTGGCGGGGAAGCCTTGGCGGAGTGGGAAGAAGGCCTGGAGATCTTTCTGGAGACTGGAGGCCCATCAGATGAGGTCCATGGGCTGGGTAGGCCTGGAAATGTCTCTGGATCTCCTCTTCTCCATCAGAGGAGCAGGATTGCAGCTCCGGATCATCCCAGCAGGGCCGGAAAGGTGTGGAGGCCTCAGCCGGGGCCTCCCTGGAGCATTCAGTGAGTGGTGAGCGCCTCTGCAGTGGGGGGTGGGAGGCTGCAGCTCCATCTGGGGTTGGATTTGGGGCCCTCCTTGAGTGGGCAGCTGGGTCTGGGGCCTCGGGGGGGCCAGTGGGTGGTTGCTCCATAAGTTGCAGGGCAGCGACCAGGGCCTCTATGGCCTCTTTGATGTTTGCCGTGGCAGGCGGGGCCTGGCAAGGGCTTGTGGGTTCGGAGTGGTCCTCTGGGCCGCTGGAAGGCTGAACTGACTGGCTGGCGTTGTAGGCCTGGGCTGTGGGGCTGGGGATGGCCTGGCTCGTGGTGCTGGCAAAGTGCCCAGGGGAGCAGCCATCTTGGAGGAAGTTGCCTCCGGAAGTGGCCTGGCAGCCATTTTGTTTGGCGGGAAACTGGGTGGGGGGGCAGTCTCTCTGGCGGCAGGCGCCATCTTGGAGAGATCAGGCAGGGGAGTCCTTACCGGGATGGCAGGCATCTCTGGTGCTGCCTCCTCAGGCCTCTTTCTGGCTGCTGCCCTTGACTTCAGGAAGAAGGCGAGCACTGCTCGGCACTCCTCTTCTGACATCTCAGCCACTTGCCTGTCCAGGCTTTCATCCGGTCCTTCTGCCCCCTCTTCGTCAGTGCTGAAGAAGCCTTCTCCAGCATCGCTTGGCTCAGCCCCTGAGATCTCTTGCTGCATCTGGGTGGCCTCTGGCTGCCAGGGTGTAGCAGGATGGAAACCCCCTTCAATGTTTTCCATCGTTGATTCAGACTGGGGCTGCTGTGAAGTTCTCCTCCGTTGAAGGCCTCTGGTCACAACAGGGGAGCTTCTCTCACAGGTTATTTTGGAGGGCATCTCGCCTTTTCAACAGCTCCTGGAGTGGAGTTCTGCTACCATTCCCTCTGCTACCATTCTGTGGAAATTGGGATCGTAGAAAAACACCCAGGAGCATAGAAGAGTCCAAAGGCAGATGCATGAATAAATGTGATAAATGTATTTATTCATATAACAAAACATCTTAACTATATACAAAGGCTGTCTTAATATCCATTAGGATAGGGGCACACAGCGTGTGTGACTACCCCTATCAAAGATCATGTCTCATGGAGAACAAACGTAAAAGAGAGCTTGGTGGAAAGGTTAGAGGGGGTTTTATACTCAGTGTAAGCCCCTCCTCTCCACATAGGGGTGGGGGCACTTTCTGCCTCCACTAGTGTCTGTATAATATATGTGCCAATGGCTTGCAAATACTTGACACTCCCTCCCTCTGCTTCCTTCCTTTCTTCCTCCCTTCCTCCCTCCCTCTGCTTCCTTCCATCCTTCCATACTTCCTTCCTTCCTCCCTCCCTCCCTCTGCTTGCTTCCTTCCTTCCTTCCTTCCTTCCTCCTCCCTCCCTCCCTCCCTCCCTCCCTCCATCCCTCCCCATCAACAACTTCTGGAGGGAAGCCATTCCACCGATTAACAGACTAGCAGAAGACCTTGGAGGTCTTCCAGTCCCCCCTGCTCAAGCAGCAGACCCTCTACAACAGGCACCCTCAAACTACGGCCACGGGCAAAGAATATGGCCCGCGGAGTGGTGTGATTAAGCCCCGCCCCTTGCCCCGCCCCTAACTGCCTTATCTCCCTGGCGAGCCAGCTGCAAGGCCAGCTGAGGGCCAGCTGAGGGGTGATCTCGCCGGTGCAGCCTGGAAAAGCAGCTCTGGGCTTGTAAAGAACTCCTTCAAATTAAAAGTCTTTAAAAACAATTTAAATGGGGGCTTAGGAAGGAGAAAGGCAAAAAAAATGAATCGGCCCCCTGTTTAAAATGTTGGAGGACCCCTGCTCTACAACGTCAGACAAATGGCTGTCCAGAATATTGGGGTGCATCCCAAGGTCTCCTCACCTCCGAGAAGAAAACCTTCCCGATGGTCTTCTCTCTTAGATCGGGACGGGTCAGGTAGGTGTTGGCCTCTCTGAACATCACCTTGAGCTCATGTTTAGAGAAGCTGACTAAATTCCCAAAAGAGCAAATATGGAGAGCTCAGACGAGATCTGCTGGTTAGGGAGAAAAAAACAAGCTAGAGAAATCATGATGTGAATTCAATTACTCAATGAATTACTCCATTTAGAGAATTCCTCAACCTCCCTCTCACCTCCCACTCTCTCTCACCCTCCCTCTCTCTTTTTCACTCTTCCCTCCCTTTCTTCCCCTCTAACCTTTCCTCTCCCTCACTTTCACCTTCTGTGTCTCCCTACCTCCTTCTTTCTCTCCCTCTCCCCTCCCTCTCCTCTCTCTCTCACCTCTCTCTCACACACACCTTCTCTCTCTCTCTCTCTCCCATAAAGATGGCCTAGGTACCATCTGCAGAATTCTAATTTTATCAAAAATGCATAGAAAGTTCAGCAACAACTGTGTTGTGCTGATCTGAAACAGATCCAAACCCAAACAGCCCTTCTAGAGAGCTGGAGAATTGCCAGAGGAGGTGGAAGAGAAGGAAGGTTGCCCCTCTCTTCAGCTTCACCAAACCAGGTGTCCGCCTAGAAAATCTACAACACCACACAGCCTATCTAGCAAAATGCCCTAGATTGGTCATCTAGATTGGTGTTGCTTGATCTCAGACACTTTAAGATGTGTGGACTTCAACTCTGCTGGCCTGAGAACACCAGAAGGAGCTGCTAAGATTGAACAACACTGGTCTAGATCAGGATTTCTCAACCTTGGCAACTTTAAGAGGTGAGGACTTCAACTCCCAGAACTCTCCAGGCAGCATACTGGAGTTGGGGTCCCCATCTTTGGGGCAACCATGACCTGGATGATTGACCATCTCCATGGACATTGAACTGGGAATAGGTGTGCTCTGAACTTGTGTGTTCTCCTGCAAACTTCAAGAAACTTCTGCATGGCTATTCTGCTATTGGAGGGACTAACCTGTCTCTCTTCCTTCGTAGGACGACATCGAACTGAGGAATACCTCCATCACCATTTTTGGCATGCTCCTGAAAGGACTGAAGGAGTTACGGAACAGTAATATGGCCGAAAACATCCTGAACAGCCTTATTCCCCTCCTCATACAACTGTCAAATGATCGGACGAAAGAGGTGAGTTGAAGGGCTGGCTAAGCTGAGCTCCTGCTCTGATCATGCTACCTTCACAGAGACCACTCTGTACCCCCATCTTCACTCAGAGCAACGTGGTTGTACCACGTGGACACTCTGGAGAATGCAAAGACATTGTAGACAATCCTGAAGTTGTGGGGTCCTTGGTGCTCCCTGAACTTGGTTGTTTCCTTGAAGACCTTTCATGACCCAACTAGGTGACAGGATCTCCCTCTTTCCTCCCTCGGCCAGGTCTCCAGGAAGACCCTCGACTCCTGCGTGTCCTTTATGAACTGGGGGGGCTTTCCCAGCAACTTGTTTGACTATGAAATGTACACCAGTCTTCATAGCATGTACTCCAACATCTGCTACGTGGTTGTAAGTAGGAGCCAAGCTGGCCTGTTTTCTTCCAGATTAGAGTAAACTAACCATTTATTTCTTTATTTTGTCCTGCCTTTCTTATTTTGATAAACAGTTCAAGACGGTGGGCATCCCTAATACTTCTTCTTTTCTTCACAACAACCCTGTGAGGTGGGTTGCCCTGAGCGAGAGGGACTGCACCAAAGTCACCCAGCTGGCCATCGTGACTAAGGAGGGACTAGAACTCCCAAAGTCACCCAGCTGGCTTTCATGCCTAAGGCAGGACCAAAACTCACCATTCCCTGCTCATTGGCCCAAAGTCACCCAGTCCGCTTGCTTGCCCAAGGGGGGACTAGAACTCACCGTCTCCTGGTAATTAGCCAAAATCACCCATCCAGCTTTCATGCCAAAGGCGGGACTAGAACTCTCAAAGTCACCCAGCTCACTATCATGATGAAGGCGGGACTAGAACTCACCGGTTCCTGGTTTCTTGCCTGAGGCGTTAAGCACTAGACTCAACTGACTAGTGGGATTCTTCTTGGGTTTTTGCTCTCTCGGGAACAGCAGAGGTTCCATGCAACCATGAGCAGGGCCGGATTTTCCTATAGGCTAACTAGGCTTCAGCCTAGGGCCTCAAGATCAAGAGGGGCCTACATTCAAATTGTTAGCAAAATTAAAATTACACTTTCGCTATAGGTGAAAGGGCCTCATAAGTGGAATAGCCTAGGGCCTCTTTTCATCTAAATCCGGCCCTGACCATGAGGACTAGAAACCTTGCTGGTTTGTGGGTTTGAGGATTGGAAATGGCAGTTTGTGGGAAAAGGAAATTAGGACGTAGAGGGGGGCAAAATATAAATGCATTTATAAGTTTAGAAGCCATTTCCTTATCATTTTTCTTTCCCTTTTCTTTTTCTATTTTCTTTATTCACTATCTGTAAGGATCGCCTCTCCTTCCAACTTAAGATGTTAAGATTTTCCAAAGTCTCCATCACCAATTGGGTTATATGCCTCTTCAGATAGTCCTCCCTCAGGGGTGCTTCGGTCAACCCCCCCTGGCCAGTAAGGGCTTCTAGTTCCAGTTTCCACCCCGGTTTTCGGTTGCCACGGTTGAGGGTGACTCCTCTAGTTCTCTCATCCCAGCCATCTTTCTTCCCAATGCCAATTGACCAGCGGGGCTTTTCAGGATTCTCCAGGGTTACCTCATCCTCTCCGATGGGTCGCACGAGGCAGGCATCCGACTGGGTGGCGGTTGCTGTCTCTCCCCAGCAACCGGTTTCTCCCAGCTCTCTGCTTTGTTCAGACATGGTTTGCAAGGTCCCCTCAGTAGAGCAAAGATTGCTTCTCTGGGTTGACCGTTTTGCAGATTGTGCTTTCTGTAAGGATCGCCTCTCCTTCCAACTTAAGAAAGTACGAACTCTTGAAACGTAGTTGTTCAAAAGGATTCTTTTATTAAGCAGAAGTGAAAACCATCCAGCTAAAGCACAATCTGAATGCCTTTAGGCAAAGCAGTAGGATTAAAGTGGTAGAGACCCCTCCCTTTAGGTCAGAATGCAGATTTCAGCCAATACACAAGTGTGAAGATGTTTTCTTTACTATTTCCTTTGAGAACCCGAACACACATGCATTCCCACCACTTCCCTTTAAAGTGAGACAACCCACATGGCTATCATATAAATTCCTGCAGGTAAAAGGAATCTCAGGCTTGCTTGGCGCCAGGATATAGGTTGTAAAATATCTGATGACACAGGCCATGCTAGTAAATCGAATCCACGTCCCCCCCTTCCTTCACTTGAATGGCAGTATCACTTTTAGGGATCTGACACTATCTGCTATTTTTCTTTATTTTCCTTTATGCTTTTAATTTGGATAAAACTGTCTCTAATAACATAAATATCAATTAGTATAGTAAAGTATAGCATAGTATAATAATGTCACAGTTTAGTACAGTACAGTAAGTTGTTGAGGACATGAGGACTAGAAACCTAACCAAGAAAGCAGCCCCTTGGTAAAAAAAAAAAAAAATTTAAAAAAGGAAGCTCTATAGTTCAGCCCTGTGAGGTGGGTTGCCCTGAGAGAGAGGGACTGCACCAAAGTCACCCAGCTGGCCATCGTGACTAAGGAGGGACTAGAACTCCCAAAGTCACCCAGCTGGCCTTCATGCCTGAGGCGGGACTAGAACTCACCAGCTCCTGGTTTGTTGCCTGTTGCCTTAACTACTAGACTAAACTGACAAGGGGGAGTCTTCTTGGGTTTTTGCTCTCTCAGTACCAGCAGAGGTTCCATGCACAACAGTTTTTCTGGCAGTTCCGGCCCTCTTTCTTAAGGGTATGGCTGCCGTTGTTAAGTTAGTCACTTAAGTTAGTTCGGATTTTGCTCATCCGAAGATCGCAAAAAGTGATCTTTGACCCCCAAGACACTGTAAGCGTCATAAATACGAGTCGGTTTGCCAAGCATCCGGATTTTGATCTTGATGTGGCAACGCTTCTAAGTGTGAAAAGCAGTCGTAAGTTCCTTTTTTCAGTGCCATTGTAACTTTGAATGGTCACTAAATGAACTGTTAGAAGTCGAGGACTACCTGGCCTGTATCCCTCTCTCTTGTATAGGCAAACCCACAGCCGTGGCTTTTTCTCTGGAAATATTTCCAGCTGGCCTCCCATTCTAGTATTAACTGGATTCAAGGCTGCTTAGATTTTTTTCCAAGATGATGGTTGTTTGCACAGTCCTAGAACATAAAGTAATAGAGTTGGAAGGGACCTTAGAGGTCTTCTAGTCCAACCCCCTGCTAAAGCAGGAGACCCGATTCCATTTCAGACCAGTGGCTGTCCAATCTCTTTGTTAATCTCTTCTTGAAAGCCTCCAGTGAGACCTGGAGACAAAAACATAGGAAGAACGGCTACCCCTAGTCCTTCTTATTATTAGACAGACCCAATCCCTGGAACCATCCCGTAAAGTCCCAAAGCGACTCTTCCAAGTGGAAACTAATGAATTGCGCGTTTTTCCCCTGAATCAGTCGATTTAGCCATCTCTGTTAACCCCACCAACGTTTTCTTTTTACGTGCCTAGGCTGCTGCATGCAATACATGCAACCGGATGTGGTGACTTCAATCCTCATAGGTACATGCCAGTTGCCAAGCATCTTGAGTTTTGATCCTCTGACCGTGGGGATATTTCAAAATGGTCATCCCCACTGTTTTTACTGTCTTCACTTCAAAGCATCACTAAATGAATGGTTGTAAGTCAAGTACGGCCAGGTGGTCCTCAACTTACGACCACAATGGAGCCAAACATTTCTGTGGCTAAGTGAGATATTTGTTATGTGAGTTTTGCCTCATTTTACGACCTTTCCGGCCACTGAATCACTGCACTTGTTAAATTAGTCACACCGTCGTTAAGCGAATCCAGCTTCCCCATTGACTCTGTTAAGGTGCGCGTAAAAAGTATTTGTTGCTTGTGCAACGAGCAGAGCAGAAACACACAGGGAAGGAGATAAACGTGCAGCTCGTGTGAGAAAAATACTTTATATACAAGATAATAAGCAGTCACGGTGTAAGTAAAACAGTCCAAGGTCATAAACAGTAATATCAGTCCAGTAAGTATCGTCCCTTACCAAAGCAAGCAGACTTTAGTAACTCTCGGTATATAGTACCATATAACAATCCAGTCTAACACCAATCAGCAGAAAGACGCAGGAAGCAACAGGAACAGGATCAATCAGGAACAAGGAACGCTTCTCTGCGCTGCTTATTTATGCACTGTAGCCTAATTACAGGGTTCAGCAAACCCTGATTACGTGGCTCAGTTGTTTCTTAAAGAAACAGATATATTGCCTGACCAACAAGTTAGGAGTAAGCTACAAGCTGAACCTAACATTCTCCCCATTGGGCAGGACAATATACACAATAGATACAGAAACAAAAATACACGTCCAAACATACATTGTACAGTGGTATCAGTTACATTTCAGATTCTTAATCCAAATCTTTCACAACAATTGGTGTGTTTAATGGCACCTTGCGCTTTGGTAAAATTATCGGCAATATTGTCCTCTGATGCGCAATATTCCAATGTAATCATGTTATCCTTAACACATTGCCGAACATTCAGATAACGTATATCAGTGTATTTAGTCCTTGTCTTTACAGCAAGATTCGTTGCCATTGTAATGGCTGCCTGGTTATCTTCATAAACCGTAATAGGATAGTCCATTTTGAATCCAATATCTTCCATCAACTGTTTATAATAAATCAGTTCAGTACATGTAAGTGATAGACAAGAAAACTCCGCTTCCATGGTAGACAAACTGATGTGTTTCTGGCGAATTGATCTCCATCCAATTAGGCAGTTATCCAACATGATTGCTATTCCAGACGTAGATTTTCTGGCAAAACTGGCATCAGCATATGCCTTTAACACCATATTGGCATTTGGTTCTAAATACATAGCAAAATGTAACGTTCTTTTAAGATATCTAAGAATACGTTTTGCAGCTTGCCAATGCCTATCAGTAGGTTCTGAACTATATTGTGCTAGTTGATTAACACTAAAAGCTATATCAGGCTGTGTCCAGTTGCTCAAATACGACAAACTGCCTATTAATGATTGATACAGTTCTTTACTGAACTGTAGACTCTGCAAACTATCCTGTTGGAATTCTTGTGTCATAGGAGTCTTGGCAGGTTTACATAATTCCATCCCATATTTTTTCAACAATTTTCAGATTTTAATAGATTGTGAAATTTTAAATCCTCTAGATGTTTTCAGGATATCCAGTCCTAGATAATGCCGTATATGTCCTAGATTTCTAAGTTTAAATTTTGTTTGCAACTGACCAATAATCTCTCTAGCCTCAGCGTCAGTTCTGGTAATTATGGCAATGTCGTCTGTAAAGAGTAACAAGAATGAAACACATCCATCCTGTTCTTTTTTAAACAGACATTTATCTGCTACGCCCTCATAGAACCCAATGTTATGTAATTCCTGCACTATACATTGGTTCCACTCGTAACCTGATTGCCTTA